ATATATATATATATATATATATATAATTCCATTTATATGAAACATCAAGAATAGGCAGATTCAAAGAGACAGAGTAGAGATGATTAAGGTCTAGGGTGGAAAATACAGGGAGTTATTATTTTTTCAAAGATACAAAGTTTCAGTTTAAAAAGATAAGTTTTCTCGGAAAAATAGTGGTAATGGTAACTTAACACTGTGTATGTGGTTAATTCCACTTGAGTGCACATTTTAAAGTGGTTAAAACAGCACATTATTCACAGAACTGTGAAAAATCAATTTCTATAATTTAATTCACCCAGGCTAAGGTCTTTGTTATGGCAGCTGAAGCCCATGAATACATCATCTGACCCAGTGTTTTCCGTGAAACGTATCACTTTTTCAATCAAGTTAGCTGGAAGCTCCTCTCCCCAGAAGAACTGCAGGTCCCAAAACAAGAGCTCCAGCAGGGGTTCAACGAGGACAGATCCCACAGGGCAGCCTCGATGTCAGGCCCTGGATGGCATGTGAGGCTATAATGATACAACCACAACGTGAAAGTGTAAGTGTTTTTACTACTTACAGACACTGGGGAGCACTCGGCACACCTGGAGACCACAGATACAGAGGTCAGCGAGCCCAGGCAGGGAGGACAGAAGAGACCGGTAAGCCAATGACTTTAGTAAGTCCAGGTGTTATCTGACAGGTTTCCAGCAAGGAGCTTTAATGGATGTATTTAAAGCAAGCAGCAAACACTGAGACAAGGAGATCATGGTGTGACTGAGAAGGGGTCACTTTAAATGTGAGGACAAATATCAGAATTACCAGTTTAAAGAAAGTAGATGGAGAGAGAGGAGCCCAGCACACCAAGCAGGAGAGATGCCTCTTAGATTTTATTGCTGGCCACCAACTGCAGCCACTTGAACCAGATACAGTATTGAAAACTGCCATGGTGAGCAAGGCCTGCCTCTGATGTGAGGTAAATAAATTTACACTTTAAAAAATGAATGCCAAGACAACATGACACTATGAGCACTCCTGACATCCAGGGACACCAGCGGGTGTGGTACTGCGTCCTGGAGTCAGAATCCTGGGTTCTGGTCCCTGCGAGTGAGAAAATGAAAAGGACTTGTCCCTGCTCCCCTGGCATTGATCCTCCCACCCTGCTGCTCCGTCTTCTGCTCCCAAGCCCATGTGCAGTGCTCAGCCCCAGACATCACTGTCCCCAGGGTATACACAGTGCCGCCTACTGCACACACACACAAACTCACAGAAGGTGACAAAAATCTGCGTTCGGGACATCCGATCGTGAAAGAGGGAGAACGGTGAACGTAGAGCCACAGAGACTGGGACTCACAGGACTGGAAGGTGATGGAGCTGTAACATAACATATGTGTGACCTCTTTGAAACGTGCAGATCGTTGTGGAATAAAACACGCAGCCTGGCCTGGGACAGCGGCCCCCACACTTCCCTTCCAGTCCACCAGAGGGCGGCAGAGTCCCTCCGGCCTGGAGCCTTCCCAGGGGATGCCGACCTCCCTCAGCAGAACCTGTAGCCAAGCAGGGTCCACCCTCACCAGGGTAACCTCGGCCCAAGTCCTCAACGTCCTCCATGCTGCCCACACGGACTCTGTCAGCTCCTCCCTGACTTGGTGGCCGCCAACCTAACACCACTCCCTCTGCAGGCAGCTCCTGCCCCACACACCTGCTCCTTCCCTGGGCTCAGTTAAACAGACATCTCCCAGGGCAGCATTGGTGCACATAACGCCACACTGCGCGCTTTCCCCTGGTGACCTCCCTCCATCCTCATCAACTCTTTCTGTCACTGCTCCCTAAATGCCCGCCCCTCCTCCGTCTGTCCTGTTCTCTGGGGCACCCCAGGCCAAGCCTAGCGGTGACACAGAACAGCGGCTGCCTGAGGTCCCACAGCCTCCCCGGGAATGAGTGAGGCACCCTGTGACCTGCCTGCCCGCTGCACCCCGTGGGGGCTCAGAGCGCGTGTGATGGTCACACACAGGCAACACATAGGATGTGGTCACCTACCTACCCCCGGCTGTCCCTTGGGAAGACAGACCTCTCCTGTGTCCCTGCCGGGAGAAGGGGGTATTATGGCTCTTTGTTCCGAGAACACAACTGACCCCCACCCGCCTTCTCAGGTTTGAGCAACGTCCCTCCAGACAGACTATCTGGTGACTGCCTGTTCCTCCTCTACAGAGAGCATCTTGGCCAGGTGAAAACCCTCAGGACAGACCCCTGGGTATGTCAGCACATGGAGGGCTGAGCCCATCACGACCACGGAGTAGGTCGGGATGAATCTCTCCAGCTCTGAGCCCCTGCTCTGTCCCAGGCTCCCCTTCCTGTACCTCAACGAGCCATGTTCCACGGGGTTCCTGGGTAACTCCCCACTTCCTCCTGCACCACCACGGTGAAGGTATGGTGACCACAGTACAATCAGCTGGGCAGAGAAGAGAGGACACCAAAGATGGTCAGGAAGAAATGAGAAACCCTGAGCCCCAGCTCAACCACCAGTCAGTCCCCAGGGAGCAATAGAGTGACCGAGAAATGTCCTTTGACCATGGGACTCACAGCTCCCACTGAGCAACCAGCACAGGCCTCTCCTCCCAAGAGGCAGAGAGATTCACCCTGCACACCTCCAGGAAGGACAGTTTCCTCTGGACACCCAGGTCCTGAATGTCCATCCTTGGAAGCTGCAGCCAAGCTAGACATAATTAGAGAAAGGAAGGGTCCCTCTCACCAGACGCCACACACCTCACCCACAGCACAATGGGGTGTCACTGTGACATGGACCTGGTAGAGCTCCAGCCTCCTGCACTGAAGGGGAGAGCCAGATGGGATTGAAGAGGGCAAAGGGCGTGAATGTGCACCCGACCCAGAGCCATGGGGACAGCAGGAAGCTGAGACCCAGAACTGTGCTTGCACAACCGACAGGGTATGTGTGTGACTGTGTGTGTCTGCGTGTGTCTCTTTTGTGTGTTTATGTTTCTGTACATAGTGTCTGCCGAGGTTTGGTGACAGAATCACTGCTGAAAAAGGCAGAGGCCTCCACAATTCCCAGGTACCTGACACACAGACAAAAGGAAAAAGAGAAGGAGGGACAAGGAGGCAGGACTGAGAGGGGAGGGGACAGAGGGGTGTCCTGGGCACAGACGCCGCCCATGAGCCTGAGAAGTGCTCGTGCCCAGGAAGAGGCTCAGCACAGAAGGAGGAAGGACAGCACAGCTGACAGCCGTGCCCAGAAAGTTTCTGGATCCCAGGCTCATCTCCAGAGAGAACACGCAGGCAGCACAGGCCATGGGGCCCCTCTCAGCGCCTCCCTGCACACTGCACATCACCTGGAAGGAGCTCCTGCTCACAGGTGAGGAGAGAACTTCCTCGGAGAGGACAGGAGTAGGAAGCAGAATGATTGGATGGGGTTTGCTGGAGAGGATGGCGTTCTAAAAAATAAAAGTAAGCACTTTAAGAGGCTGAGGTGGTTGGATCATGAAGTCAGGAGTTCAAGACCCGTCTGGTCAAGAAAGTGCAGCCCTGTCTCTACTAAAAATACAAAAACTTAGCCAGGTGTGGTGGTGTGCTCCTGTAATCCCAGCTACTTGAAAGGTTGAGGCAGGAGAATTGCTTGAACCCGGGAGGCAGAGGTTTCAGTGAGCAGAGATTGTGCCGCTGCATGCCAGCCTGGGTGACAGTATGAGACTCTGTCTTAAAAAAAAAAAAAAAAAATAGGGGAAAGAAGGCTCTGTTGGAGCCTGCATAGGGGAACATATACCACAGAGGGTCAGGGGTCGAAACACGAAAATCACATTGAACTGGAATTGGTAAGAGGTAGGAAAATCTCACGTGTTCTCTTTTCCTGGTTAATCATCACTGGCCACCACATTTTGAAAAATGATAATAACTATTATCAGATGACACTTCAAATGAAAATATAAGCAGGACATGAAACACTGTCCTCAGCAAAAAACCTCAACCATTGGGTAAAGAAAATAAAAACACCCCAGGCATGGAGGGTCCTTGGAACTCTCACATCTACAGGAGTCTGCAGCCTGTTCCAGGCACTGGGGTGCAACCCAGATCAGAAATGTCCCTGTCCTCACGGAGCTCATGCTCTCATGGGCAGTAAGGCAGACATGCAAAGAGATCTGGAATGTGAGGTCAGGTGTTGACAAGAGCTCCAGAGGGAGCAGAGCAGGGAAAGATCAGAAAGGGAAGACCCAGGGTCTCTGAAGGAGGTGTCAGAAAGAAGTCTAAGGATGCCCTGATGTGAGCAGGACCTGAGGGCAGTGTGGAGGGAGCCGTGCAGACCTCTGGGGAAGAGGATTCCAAAGAGAAAAATGCAGAGGTCAGAAGGGTTGAAGGAATGGGGATCTTGCCGCTGACCTTGACCCAGTAGAACAGTAGGACACAAACGCACAATCACATACACACAAAAAAGGGGTGTGTGTGTATGTGTGTGTGTTTGTGTGTGTGTGTGTCTTCAAGGCTGATGATTGAAGAGATCATCTCAGGATCCAGGGCCCCATGTTTTCTCCCAATACATAGGTCCCAATATTGACTTATGCTCTCTCCACCTCCTAGCGTCATTTTTAATCTTCTGGAACCCGCCCACCACTGCCCAAGTCATGATTGAAGCTCAGCCTACCAAAGTTTCTGAGGGGAAGGATGTTCTTCTACCTGTCCGCAATTTGCCCCAGAAAGTTGCTGCCTACATCTGGTACAAAGGGCAAATAATGGACTTCCACCAATTCATTACAGCATATACAATAGACACTGAAAGAATTATATTTGGGCCTGCATTCAGTGGACGAGAAACACTATATTCCAATGGATCCCTGCTGATCCGAAATGTCACCAAGAATGACACAGGATCCTACACCGTAAAAATCAGGAACCCAGCTGAGGAGACTAAAGGAGTAATTGTACATTTCACCTTATATCGTGAGTGATTCCACATGATCCCTGGGTGTGGGGGTGCGGGGTCACTTCTACTTTGCACACACAGGATTATCAGGCCTAGGCTGTGCCTGTGTCCCTCTCTGCATTATGTCCCATGTTGGGATTTTGGCATTTAGTGCAGGACACACACAGAGGAGACAAACTTCAATAGATCAGAATTCCTTTCCTGCCTCCAGACCCTGAAGACACTTGCTGCACAGGAAGGACAGTCTGATTGGGGGTGGGGGGGGTGTTCAGCAGGAGGAGATCAGCCTCAGCCAAGCACCTCATGTCCTCTTCATGAACTTGACCCTGAGAAAGACCCTGGAAAAGTGAGCAGGGCTTTGCCTAAGAGGCCCCTTGAGATACTCTCAGAGAAGCTCAGTCCTAGAAGCCTCAATCCTGGAACCTGTCCCTAAATCCTTACTCCAGATAAAGCTGAGGAGCCTGTGCCAGGGCTGGGTTGTGGCAGGGCTTACTGGAACCAAGGATTTACCAGCTGTCTGAGGACTGTGTCTCCTGAAGCTGCTCACTGCCAGGGATCAGCCCTCAGAGCCTCATCTGGGCAAGGACAGAGCTTTCTTCACCTGACACTCAGAGTGGAGAGGACAGAAAGACAAGCTTTGTAGGCCATCGGTCAACTGCCTTGTGAGGCTTAGGACACTCCATAGAAACTCTAATGTCCCTGAAGGAGAAACAGAAGAGAGAAAATGTACCTGGCAGCAGCTTGTCCACAGGGATCTGACCTAAAGGTGCTCTCTCATGGAAGTGAGTAATAATAAATGCTGTTTGTGTGAACACCTCCACTGTGCCAAGCATTAGGTCAGGTGACTGTGAAGAATTTACAATTTATTCACAGATAGCTGAAAAGCCACAGTCAATTTGCCATTTAGCTTATTTGACTGAGAGAAAACTGAGGCACAGGAAGGCACAGTCACTGAACCAGAGTCACACAAACACAAAAGGCAGATCAGGGTCACATGAGGTCTGTCTGCAGCCACAGGCCCATCCTCTCCTCCACCAGAAGTGAGGGCTTATTTTTTGGCTCAAATCCTCTCTTCTTAGACATCCAAACCTCAGAGGAGTGAGAGCAAATGGTCAGCTGATTAGTGTGTTCTCCAGAACTAAATCACCTGCCTCAACCATCAGAGTCAGTGCAAAATATGTCCAGATCTCCCCCTCAGATCTTAACCCCTATCACTGAACCTGAAATCCTGCGTTTTCCAAAGTGTCCATGTCACTGGCATGACAGGATAAAAGAGAGGACCTTGTTTGTTTTCCCCACTCACACCCCGCACCAGCACAGGCCCAGTGAGAGACACACCCTCAGGTGCTCTCACATAACAAATGAAGGAATTGAATGAAGAAATGAATGATCCATAACCTCTGTAGAGACTGGATCTTGAATGCAGAATCCTACGAAGTTCTAGCCACACCTGTCCCTTGTCCTTCAGAGACTGACACCCATGTTTCATCCCCCCACTACCTCTTGTCCCTAAAGCCACCCCACCTCATGTGTAACTCTGAAGCTCTTTGGCCGCTGGAGAGTTTTGAGGGCTACCTGGTCCTGGACTGTGGAAATGGGGGCACCTGGTCCCTGGGGTCTCTGAAGTCACTGTAGGCCCCATTGTTCACTGCGGTGGTGTCTCTGCCTCGCTCTGCTTCTCTGTGTCCCTCATCTTCCTCCCATTTCATTCTAACTGGCAAGCCCTGTCCTGCACAGCTTCTTCCTCCACCCCTAGGCCTTCCCCAGACACTGCCTCTAACTAGGCTGACTGTTCTGTTCCCTTCCTGCTAACACTGTGGCCTGGCCCACTCCCAGGAAATAGGAAAGGCACAGAAATCACCTGGAGTTGCCACTCCTGACAGGCTTCATCTCGAACCAATGTCTCCAGGTCACTAAGAGAAGAAGCTTCCACTGTATTCCCATCCACGGCTATTTCCCTTTGTGAGACTGATCTGTGGACAAGACCATGGGACAGGGATAGGCAGCTCCTCCATCCACTCTTATAATTCCCAGACAAGTTCTTCTGGCCTCCTGCACAAAGAAAACCAATTTATCCCGATGGTGATTTGCAGTAAAGAAAGATTTTAATGAGTCCAAGTCTGCCAAACAGGAGGATGGAGGTTTATTATTACTCAAATCAGCCTCCCGAGTGGATCAGGGGTTAGAGATTTTCAAGGATAGTTTCAGGGGCACAGGAGTAAAAAATGGGTACTGTTGATTGTTTGGGGATGGAATCATGTGGGCGGAGGGAAATGATCTGTTTGTGCTTGAATCCACCTCTAGGTGGGGACCAGTGCTTGGCTGAGTCTTTAGTCATGGGTATGGATGAGATCAGCCGGCTGCCAGAATGCAAAGAATGAGAAACATCTCAAAAGACCAATCTCAGGTTCTACAATGGTGATGTTATCTATAGCAGCAATTAGTTACAAATTCTGCACACTCTGGTCAAATGATATTTGACCAGTAAGGGACTATAGATACTGTACTTACATTTTAGTAGAATTCAGTTCCCTCCAATAATCTTAGTCTCATGATCTTTCTCCAGTTTTACAAAGGCAATCCCTGGGCAAAAGAAGGGTATTAGTGTTATGGAGGAACTATTATCATTCTTGCTTCAAAGTTAAACCATAAACTAAATTCCTCCCATGGCTAGCCTGGCCTATGTCCAGGAATGAGTGAGGACAGCCAGCCTGAGACTAGATGCCAGATGGAGTCAGCCATGCTAGTTTGCTATCACTCTTCTAATCTTTGCACTGACTCACCAGGGTGTCAGAGGCTGGACAGGTCTGCAGTCTCCAAAGCCCATGGGCTGATTTCACCCATTTCACTCGTGACTCCATCCTCAACCTACTATGAAGCTCATATTCTCCAGTCAATTCCTAGAGACTTCTGGTTTCCTGTCAGGCGTATAACAAGCTTGAAATTTGTCACTTGATTCTATCAGTAAGTAAACAGCTGAACAAACTCAAAAGTCAACAACTCGTTAAAATCCCTCAGAGATGGCCAGGCACAGTGGCTCACGCCTGTAATCCCGGCACTTTGGGAGTCTGAGGTGGGTGGATCACGAGGTCAGGAGATCGAGACCATCCTGGCAAACAGGATGAAACCTCGTCTCTACTAAAAATACAAACAAATTAGCCAGGCATGGTGGTGAGCGCCTGTAGTCCCAACTACACGGGAGGCTGAGGCAGGAGAATAGCATGAACCCAGGAGGTGTAGCTTACAGTGAGCCAAGATCGTGCCAGTGCACTCCAGCCTGGGCAACAGAGCGAGACTGTCTCAGAAAAACAAAACAAACCAAAAAAACACAACAAAAAGCTGTTACAGAAATGAAGAATGCTTTTGATGCTTCCTGGTAGACTGCACACAACTGAGGAAAGAATCCCTAGCTTGAGGATGTGTCAAGAGAAACTTCTAAAACTGAAACAGGAAAGTTCAAAAAGAGGGGGGGAGGAAAAAGTGGAACAACATATTCTATTTCATATTTAATATTTTGTATTGACAATAGCAATTTTTTAAATTTTGTAGTTGTGGGATGACTACCAAGGCTGTAACATACACGTAATAGGAATACTAGTGGTTCCGGGGACCTGTTAGAGGTGGCCAGGGGGTGCTCTCTGATGGTTTTGCTGCCTGTGCCACATACAGTTGTTTCCTCCTGATGATGCCATTTTCATAAATTGGGGTTCTTCGTGTGGGGGACACATGAGCCATTGGCGTATGACTTAGACTCTTCCTAATTCACACAAACCTAAACTCTAGTTGTATTTCCTGAGGTTAAGAGAAAATGAAGAAAGCATTTCACATACCTGTTTTGGGCTCTTCCCCATTTTTCCTAACTCTGCAGAGAAATTAGAAACGGAATTCTTTCTATATTTACTAACATAAACCTCATCACTTCTTTTAATTCTGCATCGTTCCTCCCTTTATGTAATTGACACACTGACCAGTTCTGTCCTTTTAACGGCACTCTCTCTACTTAAGGACTTGCGGATTTCAAATCAGGTTTGGCATCTTTCTTCGAGCATGATGTGATTCTACTGGAATTCATCCCACACCTAAACCTTAATTGGGTATCATGAGAAATACTACTAATAGCAATTGATCTTAGATGTTTGGACCATCAGTAAAAATTTCCACTTATGACAACATTTTAATGTGTCCTCCAAATATTTTTTGGTTTTGTTACTAGAGTAAGAACATAACATGATGTTTAAACTCCTGACAACTTTTTATGGGAAAATTACAGTATTACAAATTGAGCATCCCGAAACCGGAAATTCAAAATCTGAAATGCTCCCAAATCCAACACTTCTGACCACTGATGTGATGCTAAAAAGAAGTGCTCTCTGGAGCATTTTGGATTTTAAATTTTTCAGATTTGGGATGCTAACCCAGTACATCTGCAGCAAATATTCCAAAAAGAAAAAAAATAGTTAGAAATCCAAAACACCTGGTTTTAAGCTTTTTGCATAAGGAACACTTTGTCTGCATGAAGTACAGGCATGAAGCTGTACAGGAGATCTCTAGATCCTCCTCATCCTGCATAACTGAAAGTGCACACTCACAGAACAATGCCCTATTCTCCCAAACCCAGCTCCTGGAAACCACTATTCTACTCTCTGATTCACTCTGGAATCCACTGAGATGAGATGCATAGAGTAGTCAAACTCATAGAATCAGAGAGTAGAATGTCTAATGAGAGAAAGTACCTGCAAGACTTCTTCCCAAATATTAGTCTAATAGCCACCAAACAAAAAGGTCCGTGAGGGCCAGACTTCCATCATCTGTTCATGTTCGCCCTTTCCATCAGTCAGTTCTGCATTTGCAAACATCCACATGCATTTCTAGAAAGATCCACATGGTCCTCACCAGCCCTCTACAGGGGGAAGGGAATATCATTAACACAAAATAGGGAACATGGTCTTGGTACAAATCTATCAGCTCTTGCTTGTCCCGTTCACTCTTTGTAGGTCATTCCTTGGACTCTGCTCTATCTTTAGAGGTCACTGGCTCAATCAGTCACTATGAGACAGCTGGGAGAAAACTGCCCGACCTTGTGGTTCCACTGCCTGATGACTGAACTGACCCCCAGGCTTGACTCTGGTCTCCCCTGTGTTATTTCTAGTGAAGTACGCAGTCCCAGGCCAGGCTTCCCAGTACACAAATGGCTTAAGGACAATGGGAAGTTCCATTATCCATCTCTAGGATGTCCTTGAAAGGGAAGCTGTGGAGAAAATATACTTTGGGGGGCAAAGAAAACTGAAACTAAGAAGATTCCAGCACTGCATGCTCCAGATGAGGACCACAGGGTGGGCCAGGCAGGCAGTTGGAAAGGGAGACACTCAGAGAGGCACCAGGGACTGTGACTGCTGGTCCCGTGTCTTTCCATGACCCAATGCTGCTGCTCAATTCACACTTGAGAACGTCTGTGCTTCTCCCACATACAGAAGGCAGCCTCAGAGTCTCTGAGCCCTCAGATTGCTATGCATCTGTCTTGTAACACACACACACCTGCCATGGGGTTTTAAGGACTTGGGTGGGCTGAGAAGTGGGAAATGCCATCTCTGATTGAAAAATGTCTTTGGAGGAATCAAAGGTGCCACACAGGGCAATCTTCTCTCTG